TGAGAGGCCTGGATAACTCCTGGGCTATTTGGTGGCTACTTGAGGCATTTGAGCTCCTGAGACAGTGTCAGGGTTCTGGGCCTTTGGTTCAGCCAGACTTAATTATTTAGGAGGATAGTCCCGTTTTTAAACTCCAGTGGGAGCACAGGGACTTTCTCTCTCCCCTCTCCCTCCTCCTCCCTGACTGGTATAAAAGGTTGTGAATCAAGACCAGACCAGAACCACTACAAGCCTTTATTACAGGAACAATGTGGTAGGCCATCTCTGATCAAAGGAGAGAGCAATATGGCCAAGTCAGGGAGCACTTCTTATAGGACTGGGGTGGGGCTTGTAGGAGCGGGGGTGGGACTGAGTGATGTAGTGGCTGGGGATTGGAGGAGCTTGTGACATCACTAGGAGGGGCGAGTATTAGGTTACTCTAGGCATGATGGGAAGAAGGCTGTCCTTTAGTGGGGAAAAGCCATATTTTTAGGTGAGAAACAGGGCATTATGGGAAGGGGAGGGCTATTTTTATGTAGGGCCATGTTAAGGAGAGGAAAATCTAACACTCTTCCCTCCCCTCCCTTCTCCTCACCTCTTTCTCCCCACCCCCGTAGCACAGGCTGGTCTTGAACAAAATGACACCCTTGATTAAGGTCTTCCGAGATGATACTGCAGGGAATTACCTCTCCTTGTTTCCAGTCTCAGTTCTTGGCAGCTTTACTTTGTCCCATTCCATCCTCAACACTTTTTTCATCTCAACAGTGTTGAGCCCCTGGTAATTTAAAATTAGTTTTTTGTTTTTGTTTTTATATCGAACTCAGATCCTTGTGCTTGTGAGGCAGGCAGCAGAACCACGGAGCTAAATCGCCGGCCCAAAATTAGGTTTTTTTGAGATTGTTTCTTGTTGGCCTTGAATTCATGATCCTTATTCCTCAGCCTCCTCGGTGCTGGGATTATAGGTGTGAACCATCATGTCTGGCAGAAATCTCAATTTTAAATCATAGCTTTAGGGTTTTGCCAGCCTTCCAAAAATATTTAAACTAGACGTACTACTGTAGTACAAGGGAGAAAAAAAAAGGTTATGTTCTAGGAACACACTAAAGTGTGATCTGCATATGAAAAGCTAGAGCTGATCCAGAGAGCCAAAAGGCAGTTAGTTGCAACCATCATCAGATCATTGCTTCTAGAAGGGTGGTTCTTACCCAGCACCTTTTTAAAAATTTAGGTTGCGGTTCCACCTCAGATCGAGGGAGTCTGAATCTGCATGGTGAGCAGAACTTTTAGTGAATTCCTGAGTGGGATTCAGAAGCTCTGCTCCAAATCACATCAGCATTCCCTTCCAAAGAGGAAAATTCTGCTGCAGTTGCAACTGTGTCCAGTTGACTCCAGATGTTGTGTTAAAATAAAAGTTTTTTTTTTCCCAAATAATACATGCTCAGTTCGGTGGAAAATCTGAACAGTTCACAGTGACAGCAAATGCAAATTTAAACCTCAGTGCAATGCTTTTTAACCACCCTCCCCCACCGGGAGTGCAATTTACAACTGTGTATTGTGATTCAGGAAGGGGGAGACTGGATTCAAAATCCAGAAACTCACTTCACTTTCCCGCCTGGCAGGAATGAATCTGTGAAAAGACTAGGGAGCTGTACGTCTTCAAGTCACAGCCATTCAGTATGGAGTTTGAAATGAACATTGGCAATACTGGTCTTTATAATTGGCAAGTTTTAATTGTTCAAAACTCTCCACTAGTTGTTGTTTTTTTTTTTTTTTTTTTGGTACCGTGTACCCAACTTGGGACCTTGCTCTTGCTCCAGGCCGGCGGCGGCACCATTGAGCTAAATCCCCGGCCCTCAAAACTCTCCACTAGTTTTAAAACAGTGACCTAATTAATGACTCATTTATTCCTGTCGTTTGCTGTTTCTGTCACTCAGGCAGATTGAGACAGCAGAGGTGCAGCTACCTAGAAACTCTATCTTTTACTTTCTTTAGATCAGAAAAGGACTGGGTTTTGCGCAAAGGAGACCCCCATGCATTGTCCCCCTCTTTTTTTTAATGGTGGTCTTTATGACTGGCTTCTTATGCCAAGTACAGTGAATTTGAGGCACATCCTGCTGTAGCACCTATTAGCACTTCATTCTTTTTATTGACAAATGATATTCCATCACATGGATATTTCATTTTTTTGTGTATTAAGTTGATGGACATTTGGTTCTTTCCACTTTGGCAGTGAGTAATGTGAGACATCCTTGTTAAGTCCTTGTGGAGATGTATGTTTTCATTTCCATACCTAGAAGAGAATTTGCTGGATTCTCTTTGGTAACTTAAAAAACAAACAAACAAACAAACAAACAAACATTGTTACCAAGCTAGAAGTGGTGGTTGGCACTGTAATCCTAGGGCTATGAGAGGCTGAGGGAGGAACTCAAGTTTGAGTCCCAGCCTGGCAATCTAGTATCTTAGCCTATCTCAAAATAAAAAGGGAAAAAAAAGGGCTGGCGATATAGCTTAGTACAAAGCTCTCAGTACCCACCACCTCCCATTTTTTTAAACTGGTAAGCTATGCGTGGTAGAGCATTCCTATAAGTCTGCAGTATTCCGGAGACTGAGGTAGGAGGATTAAGAGTTTGAGGCCAGTTTGAACTATGTAGTGAGTCTGCTCTCAAAAGACAGAAAAAAAGAGAAAAACCAACCAAAACCAGACCACGAAATTCACCATTTTGACCATTTTAAAGTGTCTGAAAAATAAACAAACAAAAAGGCTGGAAACGAAGCTCTGTGTGAAGGCCCTAGGTTGAATCCTCAGTACCAGGGGGAAAAGGAGGAGGAATTCAGCGTTCTTTGCTGTTGATCCCAGAACTATTTTTTATCTTACAAAACTGAAACTGTAAGTGCTACTTAAATACTGCCTCCCTTTTCTCCCTTCCAACCATTGGCAACTACAGTGCTACAGTTTATCTTTATGAATTTAGCTGCTCTAGACACTTCATGTAAGCCAAATCATACAGCATTTGTCCTTTTGTGACTGGATTATTTTACTTAGCAGGTTTCTTTCATGTGGTGGCATGGATCAGCATTTCCTTTTTTAAGTTTGAATAGCAGTTTTATAAAAAAATTTTTTTTTTGATACTAGGATTGAACTCAGTGCCTTTGCCGAGCTACATACCCAGCCCCCACCCCACCCCTTTTTGAGACAGGATCTAGCTGAACTGCTCAATTGACCTGGCTGGGATTGCACATAAACTTTCCGATACCACTGCCTCAGCCTCCCAGAGTGCTAGGATTACAGGCATGTGCCATTGTGCCCAGCTCTTCCTATGTTGTCTTCTAAGAAATTTATAGTTTTATTTCTTTGGTTGAAGAATTTGAACTTTTTTCCCTCCACTGTTGGGCTGGAACCCAGGACTTCACTCCTGCTAGGCCATCCGTTTTGAGTTAATTATGGTATTAAGGGCCTAACCTGAGTCTCTTGTATGTTTCCCCAGCACCGTTTGTTGAAAAGACTACCCTTTCCCCACGGAATGGTTTTGGTACCCTTGCCAAGATCATTTGATCGTATACGTGAGTGTTTATTTTTAATCTATTTATTCTATTTCATTGATCTGCGTTAACTTTTTAAGAAACTGCCAAGCTGCTTTCAAATGCGGCTGCACCTGCCTCAGACTCCTGAGTGCTGGCCTTTCAGGTGTGTCCTACCGTGCCCAGCTGCTGCGTCCTTATTCCTCTTGGATCGTAGCTGTCCTAGTTGGTGAGAAGTTACAGGAACCACCCCCCTTCCCCAGAATTGAACTTAGGGAACGCTAAGCTCTTTACCCTCCTCCTTTTTATTTTATTTATTTTGAGACACAGTCACTGTAAATTGCCCAGGCTGTAACTCAAACGTGCGATCCTTTCACGTCACACTGCGAGTAGCTGGAATTACAGGTGTACACCATCCTGCTCAGCTGGGCAATGGTTCTTGACTTTGAGTTTTCATTTTATTTGCTTATTCATTCATTGTGATGCTGGGGATCAAACACAAGGCCTTACAGATGCCAGACAAGTGCTCTATTGCTGAGCTGCACCCTCAGTTGGATTCTTGACTTCTAAACATCTGCCTTTGTCCCATCTGGAGCAGAGAGGTACGAAGTAGAATGATGACCTTCCCACTCCAAACCTTTGAGCTTTTACTGGGCAGAGTGGGTAACTCCACTCTGCAAGCCTCTTGTAAGACTTGAATAGGCTAAAGTGACTCCATGCTAATAGGCCAGACTGTGCTTCTTCATATGCTAATTGCTACCTTGGTTAACAGCCCACCCAGGGGCAAATGGTTTGACAAAAGGTGACCCTAGAACATTTCCTGCATAAGATAAGCAATGTGTTTGCAGTCTTGTTCTGTGAATTCCCTGACTCTTTGTTTAGAAAAACCTTATAAAAAGTACTTCAGCCCCTGAGCAGTTGCCTCTCTGAGCCACCTGGCTCCGGGAGTGCCGTCTGGCCAGACTAATAAAGGTCTCTTTACCATCTAGGCTGGTGTGTTCCTTCCTGGGTTTCTCGGTTCTCTGTCGTGTTCCCGGAGCCTCGCTGGGTGTTAGGGCCCAGCATCGTGGAGGCCTTTCGGCTGTTCACGCTCCGTGGAGTGGAAGTGAGACTTTAGGTCTTACCACCTAAAGCCTCAGCTTTCTCTCCAAATCAGGGCACCGATTAATGCTTTCCTCACACAGGATGAGATAAGGTTGATAGACAAGTACTTTTCTCAGTGCATGTGTTAATAAATGTTGGGTTCACAGTTTTACTGTTAAGTTCCCCTCACCGAAGTCTTGCTGTAGCGTACAAAGCCCTGCTACTGACTTCAGTGTCCCAGCAAATATGACTTTCCAGTGTTTTAAGCATGACAGAGTCCTGCTGGACAGCTTGCTTGTGTCTCTTCTGTTCCCCTGGATGTCACCCAAATATCCGCACACCCACTTCACACATTAACACCAAGTGAACCGGGAGCCCCCCCCCCCTCCGCAATCTGGGCTGTGACTACTTGCCTTTCCAGTTTAGCTTCTTTTTCACCATCCATTCTGGTTTCTGCATACTGTCACAAGTCTGTCGCATTCCTCTGACCTCTAACCTTGGATTCTATTGGGACAAAAAACATTTTTACCCCAAGCTTGCGGAAAGCGGTGTCTTAGCCTTTTCTTCCTTCCTGATTGCAGGGCATCTGCAGAGACCTGCTCTGGGGCTGATGGAGTCAGTCCTGGGGCGGCCTCCCCTCCTAGTGCCCAGGTTGCTAGCTGCTGCTGCAGTAATTGGCTTGGCAGTGCACTCCCTAAAAGGCTGTGTTTCAGCTGGTACTTTCTTACAGCTGCGGGGCTAAGCCCCTTGAGAGTTCCCCTAGACAGCAGTTGTCATGGCTAATTAAGGAGAGATACAGGGAAGGTGTTTTGAAGGGATTCATCTTATCTCAAAGAACAGGGACCAGACTGGAACACTTGGAGGGGTGGTGGTTGAAGGCCAGGATGGAGAGCATAATGACAACTCAGAGCACTTGGCAGAAAGTGCTTTGCTGGCAGTCAGGAGAATGGTGTTGAATGTTTGTAAAAGGACTTCTTGTCCTCTTTAGCACATTGGGTGACATGTCCCGCATGTACCCAAAGAATTGTGGATGCACTTAGATTGCTAGGTGGCCATGGTGCATGCTCCTACGCATGCAGTGCTTTTTTTTCTACAAAAAAATCCTGAAACAAATGAGCAAAACTCAAGAGATTCCCAGATATCTCAGTGGGGTGTATCCTTAACCACTTAGGGATATGGAGATGATTTTATGGCTAAAATCTTACGGTCCATAGTGAAGACTTGGGGCTTCGGAATGGACTCTTTAAACTCTAGTGTACTGATATGCAGTAGAATTACAGCGAGAGCCATGTGTGATTTTAACATTTTCTAGGAACCCCACGTACTGGTTTCTGAGGTTACTTTAACAAATGACCACAAAACAAGTGGCTTTGGACAGCAAAATTTCCTTGTACAACGTCTTGGAGGCCAGAAGTCCGAGATCAAGGTGTCACTGTCAGGGGCACCTTGTCTGGGAAGAACCCTGCAGTGCCCTGCCTGGCAGCTGGAGTCTCCTGGCAGTCCTTGGTGTCTTCGTCTCGTGAGTGCGTGGCTGCAGTGTGTGCTCCCATCTTTACCTGGTCTTCTCTGCTTGTCTGTGTGGATGACCTCTGGCATGCACGTTCAGCACAGGGTAGCCTAGCGCCGACCTAGCCGGCGTGAGGCCCTGGTTCGGTCTCAGTCCTTAGCACTGAGAGGGGAAGGGAAGGTGGTGGAGGGCGGGACAGGAAGAGAAAAAAAGATCACAATCAAACTTCTCTTTTCTAATTGTTTTATTTTACCTAATACTCCTAAAACACTGTCATCATAACATATAATCAATCAATATAAAATTCATAATGGGAGAATTATTATTATGCCCAGGGATTGCTGTAGTCCCGGGGATTGAACTAGGCCTTTGTAGTGAGCTATATCCACAACCCTCTTTTTAAATTATTTTTACTTATTTACTTTCGTTGTTTGTAGGGTCTCTCTTAAGTCACTGAGTCGGGGGCTTGAATTTGCAATCCCCTTGCCACAGCCTCTCAGAGTGCTTGGGATTATAGGAGTGTGTTAATGCCTCCAGCCCATTGGGAAAAAAAAATATATATATTGTTGGTTCTCTTGGAAATCTAGTGGATATTTTATACTCATAACACACCTCAATTTGGAGGGCCACTTTTCAAGGACTCCCTGTCCACTTGGGGCTGGTGGCTGTTCCTGGACAGTGCAGCTGGGGAGACTGGGGGCTGACAGTACCTTTATATTTCTCAGTGTTTTTGTTTCAGGTATTCTCCCTCCTTAAAACCTCCTTGATTTTCCTGATTATATATTATATATTTTTTTTTTCATAAAATCTGTCATTTTGAATAAAAACTTTTATAAAAATGGGGATCCCAAGATGTGAGTGGAGGAAACAAAATTAGCCAGTTTTGCAGGAAAGGACTTTTATTCAACTACTCTTTTATTTTTTGCAATGCAGGGGCTGGCACCCAGGAATTCAGTTACATTTTTGAGGGTTGGTGTTTGTTTGTGGTGGAATTCTTGAGCACTCTATCATAGTGTCTTAAGTAAGAGTGGCTAATATTTGGGATGTTTCTTTTTTTTTTTTTAATTGAGTGGGGAAATATAAGACTTGATTATTGTAAACCTCCCTCTAGGAGACTGTGACTCACGCGTTTACAAGCCCCCAATGAACGCAGCTATTATTACTCTCTGTCGTGCTAAGACAAGAAGGGGCACACGCTTTTCTTTCTGGGCTGATTGCATTAAGTCTGTTGTAATAATGAGTTACCATCTGTATCTCTAAGTCTGTATTGTCTTCTCCAGTAATCAAAAGCTTGTTACTCGTTAGCTTGACTTTCAGTGAGGATGGAGTGGGGAGAGGGGCCCTCTAAAGCAGTCCCTCAGAGAGAAAAATTTGGGGTCCTTCTTGAATTTTTTTGAGGTACTGGGAATTGAACTCTGAGCCCTCACACTGAGCTACATTCACAGCCCTTGTAAGACATTTTAACATTTTGAGATGGATTTATTGCGGGATGGCACAGTGTCAGGTGATTCCATGCTCTTTCTGTCCTGCCCAAACAGGACTGGGTTAACTGATGAACTGCTAAACACAACTTTATTAAGTAAAGGAAGAAAAGGGAAAAAAGTGAATAAAGGAAAAGAAAGGCAGGGTGTGGTGGTGAACAACTGTAATCCCAGCCGTTGGGAGGCTGAGGCAGGAGGATTGCTGCAAATTGGAGGGCTACATAGTGAGTTCGAGGCTGGTGTGGACTACATAGTGAGACCCTATGGGGGTGGGGAGAGGAAAGTAAGAAAAGAAATAGTGAAGAGAAGAGCAAGAAGAGATACATCGTGTGCAAAGGACAGGCCATTGCAGAAACAGAATGACAGCAGGACAGAAAGATTGCAGCAGTGGTGGGGAAGGCAGTGGCCACTGTCTTTCAGATCCACCTAGATCTGATCTGGTAGAAGTAGCTCTACTCATACACGGTAGCCATGATTGGCAGGTCACAACCATTCAGGATCAGCTGCAATGGTTATGTTTTGTTTTCAGCCTCTGTTCTTGATATTTGTGATGGACAAGTTACATTCTGTTTTCCAGCCAGCCTGCCATGCCCTAATCTCTATCTCAGGGTCTTACGAAGTCACTGATTTGCCTACCCCGGGCTAATCATCCTGCCTCAGCCTCCCACAGTGCTGGGATTACAGACATGAAACACCAGGCCTGGCTAGATCCTTGATTTCTTAAGTGTGGTGTATGATAAGGAGGTGGTTTCCTCTCTCCCACTGTAACTGGAGTTACCAGTGCTGGCTATGGTTGGTTTTATTCCTGCCAGGTTTACTCTCTGTCCTAAACAGTTTGCCAAGGAAAAAGATGGAGGTTGTAGTTGTTCATGTGTCCAGAAGCAAAAATCCATCTTGCTTGTCAAAGGTTAAAGTGGTCACATAGGTGAATATGTTACAGGAGTTTTTTGAGTTTTGAATTTCTGGTTATTACTCACCTGGCCTCCAATTCTGATATAAATCTTGTGTCTTAATCTGTAAGGAAACCTTTGACTAGACAGCTTGCCATCTTCGTGATAATTCAGGGAGAGTCTCATGTTCTTGTGTTGGGGCTTGGTTAAATTATCAGTGTCTTTTTCCATCTAGTTTTCAAGGGGTTCACAAATTCTGGATTGTTAATCATGGTTGAGCTTCCCTGGGTTGGTCACCTAATGAATAGTTGATTCTGGACTGGAAGTTGAAAAAGGGAAATAGGATGATTTCCTTCATGTAAATTAGTAACAGAAAGGAAAAGGGCTGATTTTTTTCTTTTTTTTTTTTAACCGCAATTATGACTACCATTGCTTCCTGTAGTGGCTACAGGAGAAAGCAGAGGACAGAAAGGAGTTAAAAGTCACCCTGCCTAGGGTCTTCCTCCCCTCCCCCAGCCCTGGAGATCAGTTGGAGAGGGAGAGGAGCACAGGCTTTGTAACTGCCAAAGAGGCTGCTGGGCCCCCAGCCCCAGTCTGCCTCGCCTCCTGCAGTGCTTTTCCCACCAGCCTTTGCTCTTTGCTGCCAGGTGCGACCTTCTGTGGCCTGGGCTGCCTCCTTTCCCAAAAGCCTTGGGTGTAAGGCCCAGTGAGCCTGGTGTGGTGGTGCAGACCTGTAATCCTAGCACTTGGGATGTTGAGGCAGGAGGACGTACTGAGAGGTCGGGGCCATAGTGAGTTCAAGGCCAGTCTGAGCCTGCCTCACAAAAGAAAAAAAAAAATGGTGAAAAAGACTCCTCCATCCCACCCATCGTCAGCTCCCCTGTACTCTCCTTCCCTGATATTGTCAGGGAACTGATCATGGTAAAGTATGCCGTGACGCTGCCATCACAGGCTGCTTTCTCCTGGTGCTTCCTGGCTCCTAAAATGACCTCATGCCCTTGTCTCTGGTTTCCCTCCCCCAAGGCCACAGTGGTCCGGAGAAGTTGAAACCTGTGTCTGCAGGGCTGGACCCATAAAGCAGCCTGGCCTGTGATAGGTTAGAAGTAGCTCACCCTCATGAATAATCAATAGTTTAGCCCAAAAGTGATGAAAGGACCTTCCCTTCTTTGTTCTCTTCTTCTGCCCCTTCTCCCTCTCTGCTTCTGCTTCCTGAACAAAGTCTCCAGGCGGACCTCGCAGTGTGGTGTGTGTGGCCTAGCTGTTGAGTGTCTCTGGAACCCTTTCAAATATACTACGTTTGTACTTATTTGTGTTCCTGCATTTGCTCCATCTCCTACCACTTCAGTGTAAGCTGCAGACAGACTCTCTGTTTCCTTTTGTATATAGCAGTAGTACCAAGCACGCAGTAGGCCTTCAGTAAATTGTGCTCCGTGAGTCAGTATGTGTGTTAGCTCTGACTTGAAGTGCAGTTCTCTAAACCCAGTTTTTGGGATATTTCTTTCTTTTCTTTTTTTGTTTTTTCCTGGTATGAGCATTCTACCACTGAGCTGTATCACCAGCCCTTTTTATTTTCAAGGAAGGTTCTTGTTGCGTTGCCCAGGCGGGACTTGAACTTGTGATCCTTCTGCCCCATCCTCCCTCAGTGCTGGGATTATTGGCTTTCTTCTGTTGTGTTTTGGTTTTTTTCTTTTTCGGTACCAGAGATCAAACTCAGGACCTTGTGCTTGCGAAGCAGGTGCTGTGCCACTTAGCTATATCCCCGGCCCCTTTTTTGGTTTTTTTGAGATGGAGTCTCAACTATATAGACTGACCTTGAACTCACGAGGTAGCCCAGGCTGGCCTCAACTCAAGGCAATCCTCCTGCCTCAGCCTCCCAACTGCTGGAATTACAGGCATATATTGGCTTTTTTTTTTCTTCCCTTTTTCGTGTTACTAGATTTGGCTTGCTGTACTTAGTTGCTTTTGGGGGACTTTTGCAGTCATTTTTCACTCTTGGAAAAGGCAATTGGATCAGACCAACTGCACAGAAAAGCTGGAGGCTTAAAGAGTCCTGAAAGTAGCTGTCTACCAATTTAGGTTCATTGGTTTAGGCTTTGTAAATTAAACTAAAAAAACACAGATTACCAAGAGAAAAAGGATACGATGCTTATTACCATACACATTGTGCATAGATGTGAGTGCACTGGGGGATGAGTAACTGAAGTGAAAGGGCTGTCAGAATTTAGGTTCCTGTAGCACCTCAGCAAAGAGCAGTCATTTGTAGAGCTTTGTCAAGACAAGGAAAAGAACTTTGAGTTGCTAGGGGCCGGCCTTTGTGGAAGGGAATTTTGGGGGACTAATCACACTTCACCAAAGTTTGTGCTGTTGATTTCTCTGGCACCATTTCTGTGGTGATAAGGGTCTGCACTGGTCTTTGGTGATTAACTCTCTGTCCTACTTGACTGAGTGGGGAAAATGAAAACTTACAAAGTGTATCCTGTGGTTCATCAACTTCTGTTACTAAGACCAAATACTTGAGAAAATCAACTTCTGGGAGGAAGGATGTATTTTGGGTCACGGTCTCAGAGATTTCAGTCCAGTGGCTTTCTTGCTTTGGGGCCTGAGCAAAGGCTGAATATCTAGGCCATGGGAGTGTGGGGGAAGCCGCTATTCCATAGCAGCTGGGAATCAGAGAGAGGAAGGGGCAGGGGGCTGAGGGGGAGGGGAGGACAGCCCCAGCTAGGGCTCACTGCCACTGACCTACATCCTCTCATCAGGCCCCGGCTTCAGGAATTCCCATCACCTCCCAATAAGGCTGCCATTTGTGAGCCGATCAGTGGACACAGGGGTTCAGAGTGGTCCACCTGCAAAAGGGAGAAGCCGGCTTTTAAGGGTTAGTTGTCGGACTGGGGTCCCGGTGACCGTTGTCTCAGCCCTGGTATCATAGCTCTGGAATCTTAACAGCTGATCCTTTTGTTTCTTTTGCACATGCAGAAAATCACGAAGTTGAAGTGGGTTGTGTGTGGAGGGCATTAGCTGACATCTGAGTAGTGTGTATTGTTCTCACGTCAAACAATTGCTCCGTGGCTGCTTGTGACAGAGTTTTGTTTCTCTCTTGATTCCTTTTTTAGGCGGAGGAGTCCTGTAAGTGTAATGGCTGGAAAAACCCCAACCCTTCCCCCACGCCCCCCAGAGCCGATCTGCAGCAGATCATTGTCAGCCTCACAGAGTCCTGTCGGAGTTGTAGCCACGCCCTCGGTGAGTTCTTGAGTCTTCCAGGAAACTGGCGGGTTGGGTTCACTGTTGCCTGAAAGTCCTTACTTGGAGGATTCTGTGGGTTAACCCGACTTGAATGCTGTTTATCTCCATGTGAGGTTAACGGGAGAGTCCCTGTAGTCTCAGGAGTGTGCTGGGAGGCTGTCCTGGGAGAGACGAACCGGCACTGTTGGCATCCAGTCCTTACTTGTTCACCCCTGTCCACGGGAGCTGGGTTGGGCTGTGGGGTTGGCGAGGAAGCTGGAGCACAGAACAACTGAGCTATTTAGAGCAGCGAGTCTTCTGACTGGGGGAGCTGGGCTTGGTTGTTTAATACTAATACTTTCTGATTTCCCTGAACTTTCTGAGGGTGTTCATTTGGTCTCCATGTTTCTTGCGTTCTTGTGTTTGGTGGTTCTTTCTTCACCGGGTGCTCTTCATGGTGTTTTGCAAATGTTTGTATTTTCCTGCTCCACTTCCTTATCTGAGCTTGCAGCGTAGCTGATAGTGGCAGGGTAGACTCAGTGGCAGGTGCTCCACAGGGCGTGTTGTGTTCTGTCCTAAAATGAACTAATTTTAGGATTTTTTTTTTAAGGTACTGAGGATTGAACCCGGGGTCTCATATGTTAAGTGTGTGCTCTACCACTGAGGTTACATTCCAGCCCTAAGACAAAAACGTTTTTGGAATCCATTTTGAGTAGAGAAACGTTAGTGGGAAATTAGTTTTTCCGGATATTAACATTCCCGTTTGCAGAGGATCTTGGAACATTTTCACTTTTTTTTTGGCTTCCGTCAGTCGCCAAAGACCACAAGTACAGCTTGCTGTTGAGAACTGCAAGGACATAGCCTTGGGCACAGTTGCTCACTAAGGTGACTTACTTGCACCCTGGCATTAATCAGTGGGTGGCTTTTCTTGCCATAATTTCTCTCTCTCCCTCCCTGCCTCTCCCCCTCTCCCCCTCTCCCCACCTCATTTTTCTCTTTAGACATTCCTGCTGGTATGTTGTCAGCCAGGCATGTTGTGCATGCCTGTAATTCCAGTGTTTGGAGGCAGAGGCAGGAGGAAAAGGGTGAGTTCAAGGCCAGTCCGAGCTGCATAGTGAGTTCAAGGACAGCCTGGGCTACGTAGTGTGAACATGTCTCAAAAATAAACAAGTAATGAGTAAACATAGAAAACCAAAATAAAAAAGATGCATTGTCAGATTTCAAGGTTAGCATGGTGTTAGATTGAGTCTGAGGTTTTATTTTGTACTTAGCTGGAGAATATTTCAGTACTATTTCAATAGAGCAAAAAAGTAGATAGTGTGATTTCCCCAGGAAGTTATCAGAATAGAGTAACTTTATAAAAAAGGTGTGATTTTTTGAGTTCTTTATATATTGTAGATAGTAGACCTTTATCTGAGAAATAGCTGGTGAATTTTTTTTTTTTTCTCTATATTCTAGATAGTAGACCTTTGAGGAGCAGCTGGTGAAAATGTCTTCTTTACACTGTTGGTGGTTTCTCTTGCTCTGCAGAAGCTTTTTGTTTGTTTGTTTTTATTTTATTTTATTTTTATCTTTTGGTACCAGGGATTGAACTCAGGACCTTGTGCTTGTAAGGCAGGCGGCGGCACCACTGAGCTAAATTCCTGGCCCTTTTTGTTTGTTTTGTTCTGTTTTTAGGGCCGGGGATCGAACTTGGGCCTTGCGCTTACGAGGCAGGCAGCAGAACCACTGAGCCAAATCCCCAGAAGAAGATTTTTAATAAGAAGAGATCACTTGCTGATTGTGCTAGTTCACAGGCAGCTGAGGTTTTGTTCATAAAGTCTTTTCCTATGCCAATGTCTTCAAGAGTTCTACCTAATCTCTCAGAATTCCAGCTTAATATTTCTTTTTTAATATTTTGAAATATTTTGGTTTTAGTTTAGTGCATGGTGAGAGGTGTAAGTCGAATTTTAATCTTTGGCAAGTTGAACTCCAGTTTTTCCAACACCACTTATTAAAGAGTCTGTCTTTCCTCCAGTGAGGTGTTTGGCTCCTTTGTTGAAGATGAGGTGGCTGAGTGTGTCTGGAGTTGTTTCTGCCTTTTCTGATCT